ATTTTAAATCCGTTTTCTCGAGCTTTGTCCACAGTAGCTAGTGAAATATGATTTTCATGGTTGTCCATGATTAAGAGCGTCGGTTTTTCTTTACTGGATAACGTAAATTTAATAAAGTGATCCAGAACTTGTAGAAATATCTCGGACCACATCCATCCTGAAGTGGTAGCTAGCCCAAGCGTACCATGAGGAGCTCCATTAATCATGTGTGTTTTATAATTTTTCCGCGGGAAAATCATGACTGGAGGCACTGCGGTACCAAGGGCGTTAATAATACAGCATGTAGTTACGTTTTGTCCTCTTTCCCCGCTTGTACATTTATTTACCTGCTTGATTCCTTTTCCAGCAATTAATTTTTTCGGATTTTTGACTGTGGTCGTTGAGGTTTCGTCTAAATTGTAAACCCTTGAACCATCAGAAAAATGTTCACTACGAGAATAAACAGTTTCCAACTTGTTGAAAAATGACTATACATTGTGTGGATTGAATGATATCATTCGTGATAGACTGCAGCCCTCAGGTGAACGAATACTGATACTAGGAAGGCGCTTTCTCAAGCCTGTAAACCATTCCAAACCTGCCTTTTTATTTTTTACCCGTTTTCAGGAATCTGTATTTTATTTTGTATTGCCATATCGTTAGCTAATTTTCTGCATTCTGTTACCGTCAAACCGAAACCCATTGTTGATAAGTTTAAAACATAATGAACCAACTCCTTTTCTTGATCTATATCAAAAACCTGTCTACAATTGTAGTTAGGAGTAAGCCTAATTTTTTCTTCTGTCATCTCAGACACCTTTCTTAAACTTAAACCTTCATTAACTAGATTTATAGTATTCTGCATTGTATCTGCAGATGTTAGACCCATTGCAGTCTTCTGTATCCTATTTCTGGCCCTAAAAAAAAAAAATAAAATAAGTAAAACCAAAAGAAAAGATAAAAGAAAATATGGGGCAGACTGAAACATCGATGGTCCACAGTGAAACACGTTTATTTCACTGTGGACCATATTCATCCTCAAAAAACAAACTTTATAACAAAACAAAAAAAAAAATAAAATATTTTAATTGCTACTTACATTGTCTAAGAACAGAACTTTCTCTTTCCCCAAAAATAACTAAGAAATTATAAAAACTAAACCGGTAATTGTTTCTTAAAATTTGAGCGTGGCGTTACTTTGGATCCTCTATCTAAACTAAAATGCTGCCCTGAACAAACCGCGTCCTGTGTGATGATGCATTTTGTAGTGGGAGTTACAATACTGGTCGAACTATTATCTACGTCATGACGGTGGCTATACCGTTGTATGATGATTATATAGTAGGGTAACCTTATGGACTTATCATTGGAGGACGATGGATATAGAATGTAGATGGCGACACTGTACTTATATCCAAGTCAGGTCTTTAGGTCATGTCTGTGCTTGAGTATGAATTATAATTTAAAATCTTCTTTTTCATTTATACTTGTCTTCGGTAATGTATTTGTATAGTTAATATTTACTATTGCAAATTATTACAAAAGGGTATTTGAAGGTCACATAAAATACCAAAAAAAATCAATATAATAAAATAAACCAGTTTTTGTTTGAAAAAGATTGAATGATTTAAGATTGGATGGAATTTTACTATAATAGGGGAACATTTTTTTTTTCTATATTGTGGTTGGATTTTGGATTGATCGCTGATGGTTAATTAAAACTTGAATTTTACGCTGTTTATTTTTATTCACTTTTATATATAATGGTATCAAATTAAGAATAGGACATGAACAACTAAAGATTATTGTTCAAAATGAGTCGAATAGACAAAAATAAAAAATGCTTGGATAAAATATTCTGAAATACAGGATGTTAAGTTGAAAATTAAAAAATTAATAATGGGTAAATATAAAGGTGTAGTTATAATTTTTTTATTCAATATAATTTTACTAAAATCGGCACTGACAAAATTTAACTAACAGTTTTTTCTGCTGTTAGGTAAACTTATAATACCAAACACTTTTAGTGAAATTATACTAAGTAATAAAAACATTTAAGCCACTAATTTTCAGTTTTCAACTTTTATCACCATTTGAAAACGAATCGAGTACCAATTTATGATAGCACAGTAGCACATTTAGGAGTATTATTTTCGAAAGGCAAAATTACAAATTTTTCATTTATTTTTTTGTACATGGAAATACTTTCCTGCATGCCCTACAGTGATGAAGCGCTCAACAAAGGCGTCTTAAAAAATAAATTATAGAAAATGCGAATGTTACATATTTGATTAGATAATTAACATTGACATAAACCTTCATTGCTCAGGACGTTAAGTGCTCAACTTTGGATTTCATAAAGTTCAGTTACCGACTACTACTATTTTTTCTGAACTGTTATTAAAATACTATAAAATTTAGCAGAAAGATTGCATTAATTGTATTTTTTATATTTTTTCCAAAATAAAAAAGAATGTTTTTATCTGTAATTGAATCCGGGTTGGGAAATCCAAACTTGAACGCTTAACGACTTAAGTCTTGAAGGCACTTATATCAAGTTAATTATCTAATCAAATATATGACGTGGCTTTTAAAAATACCATCATTGTGCGCTCCACTGCTGGTGTGTCCATCTTCTACAAGAGAAAAAGAAGGAAACATTTGTAAAGTTGTCTTGCACAAATGTGTACCAAAAATGGGCAACTGGCTCTCATAAGCCTTTTTCGTTTAATCGTCTCATTATTTGAACACTAAACGCCAGCATGGGAAATATATGTTAAAGTTAGTTTTAAGAACTTTTAACATTCAAATAAACAAAAACAATTTATAAATCTATTATTAAAATCCGCGTTGGAACAAAACATGTAAAATTGTTGAATTTGAAAGATATTCTAAAAAGGGAAAGGACTTCGGTCGAGAGCCTATTGGACAGAATATTCAGTTCAATCAATGACAATTATTAATATTACTATTCTTAAATATTTTGTTGTTTAATTTACTTGTAAATTTATGTGTGAATATATTTATAAATTACACTGGTCACCAGTGATTTTGTGGACGGGGGTTTAAGAGCGTTTTTGGGCGATCGTTTTACCGATTTCAAATCGCTTCTCCAGCCTATAAATCTTCAATTTAAAAAGAATAAAATAAAGTAGTTGTCTAAAACTAAAATAAATTTGCTATCTCGATTATTTCCAAACTTTTCCTTAACGCCTTAGTTATAAGTTTCATATTACATTTTTTTATTTGCTATTTCTGTGGAATCATTACTTTTCACTTGCGTTATTGTTCTTCTAAAAAAGCGAAATGTTACTCACGTTTTGCTTGATTGGCTTTAATTTTTGAGATAGTCAACCAGTCGAAATAAAAAAAATTCCAAAAATAATAAGACATATTATTTAATCAGTTTTGTCTGAGCCCCGGTCTGAGCTAACTAAAAGGCTGTATTCTATAAACAATGAAAAATAGTGATTGTTTTTTGAACTACTTAAAACATTTTCACTCAAACTGCGTGCGTGATTCAATTTAAAAATACTTTCCAGAATAAAACCACGTGTTACAGTTGTGACTTTATTACTAAACAGCCCAGTCATATACAAAAACATTAATCCAAAATCTAAATTAAAAGTACCTAATAATAAATTGCCTATCTACTAGGGTCGGTAACCAAACGTATAAACAGAATGGGCGGATTTTGTTCATACTTAACATTACACTCCGCACTGACACTTAACCTGGATTAAATATAACTATAAATACAAATATTTACAAACAAATATACTTTTCCAAACAGTGATAATTTATAAAAAAAATGTTTTTTATAAGATTTTCTTTTATGTTCAAAGTTAGGACTTTATAATTATTGTGTCGTTCGTAAAATTCTGTACTAAATAAGAGCACTGATTTTGGAAATAAATTTTAACCATTTTGGCAAGTTGTTGAACCTTGTAACATTGCATAATGAAATATAAAGACTAACTGAATATGTCTGCCACAGATAGACCACTTGTAGGTCTATCGATTTCGTCTTGAGCTATTCCTAAAGAGCGGAGCTATTGAAAACTTCCTTTCAACGTGATTTATTTCAACACTCAGAGCCAGCCGAGAGAACATTTTTTCTTATATTCATGGTCAACAGCCAAGATTCATTTGGAAGTCGCTAATATATCCCTGTGACTATTTTTTTTTTAATTTGTTTTCCAGTGTTGATTGTTGATTGATTTTTCCCTGATTAGTGATTTTCTTGTTCCTTAACTTAATACCTTGCAAACTGTTGATAGCTTTAATTAAATTTTGTAGCAAAGCTTGTTCAAATTTTGAAAACTATAAAAATATTCAGCTATTTTTATGGTTATAAACTTTTCCAACACTTAGTCCAATTAGAGGTACTTAGATTACATGCAACATTTTCAGAAGCTTATTCCTTTTTTGTATTCTACTTGGAACTTTTCAATTTATTTAAAACATTAGACATTGTTATCAGTTGTTATTGTTTATATATTTTGACATAACCGCACATAACCAAAATATTGACCAAAGTCCTTAACCACTTTTTATCACCTTAATCCAAAAATTATATTTGTACGGTTTTGTCAACTGGAATAAATTTTCATTATTATGTTTAATTTTTCATATCTTTTATTATGAATTGTTATTTTTAAATAAATAAAGACGTTTTTAACTATAATAGGTAGGTGATAGAGGCCATGTGCCTGAACGAAAAGAAGACGTAGATGGCGTATCTGCATAGCATTAAAAATTGACTACTTCATTAAATCGTCCTAGATGCCGCTCGAGATTGCGTCCAACACTTTTTACTGTTGCATTATCCTACTATATTATCTTCATACAACGGCTATACGTCCATCGTTTTTTTTTTTTTTTTTAGTCGGAATGTTTCACTGTGGAACACTCTCCCCTAAGCAACTGTGTTTTAAATACATGTTTATTACTTATGGCTGATAATGATTTAAAACTTGTTAAAAGATGAATTGTAAATTCTTGAATTTATTTGTTTTCAGACACCGATGACTTACAAAATAGTGAAAGGAAATGAGGATAAGAAATTTGAATTGATCAAGAAACACGGCGTTTGGGCGTTACATTTTAAACGACGGCTCAAACACCCCGGTAGATTCGAAGTCGTGATACATGGTAGACCTGAAAATGACGTTCTGGAGTCCGAAACGTACGAACAGCCTCTGGCGTTGAAAGTGAGAATAATTGTCAGCGAAGAGGAATAAATAAGAAAAAATAGAAGCTGAAAAAACGATGAAGTGGACGAGAAAATAAAGAGATCAATGACAGGGGATTTTTGGAATAGCCTCTGTATCTACGAAAAATTAAAAGTTATTTTTTTTTTTTTTGTTAGAAAGTTGTAGAGAAATATTTAAATTTTTTTATTCCTAATAATAGGTATGTATCAAATTTAATATATTTTTTAATTTTTTACAACTTTTTAACCAAGAAAGAACATTTTTTTTCTGAAATATCCTTTATGTGATATTAAAAATTTGCCATATTAACAAAATATCACTGCCAAAATTTAAAAAAAAATATTTTTTTACAATTTGTATAAAAACTTAATACTGCCATATATAAATTTATATATTATACAAATTAAATTAATTTAAATATTGTTAACTAAAATATTTTTGTTTTGATATTCTGAATTTTATTATTTTTTTTATAAAATAAATTTCGAAATTAGTTATAAAGTATTAATAGGCTATTTTGTGACCCTTAGCGTATAGGTAAGAATTGTGTAGAAAAAATAAATTAAATATATTTATGGATTTATTTAAATTAAGTATTTAATTAGTTACCTTAGTTGTTTCTAATAATCTGTAATATATTTTGCTTTAATATAAAATTTGTTCATAAGTACATTGATAGTATTTTTAAAAATCAAAATAAAATTCCAAAAAAATTAAAAATCTAAAAAAACAAAAAAGTTCTTAAAAAATTCAAAGACCTTCGAATTTTTTCATGTAGAAAAAGTACATAAAAAATGCAAGTCTGTGGCTAAGAGATTAGTTTGAGGCCAACCCCAATGTAGTGAACTAATGTAGTAAATTTGCCTAAAGAGTATTTACACTATGAACTTTGTTTCTAAGGTTTAATGTATATTGTCAATATGTTATTTTGTATGTCAATTTTCGCTAAATAAAGCCTTATTTTAGAAGGTATTCCTCATTCTAAATTATTTAGCGAAATTTTTAGAAACCATCATAGTGGAATACAAGGGTGTTTAGGGTAATAATTATTGCGAAGACGCCCTTTTCTTAAAAATACATATTTTTTTACAAAACTTACATTTTAGTCTTTAGGAGGGAGAGTATTTTTCAAATATACTACCGGAAACCCCATATATTAACGTTTTTTTTTTAAATTTTACATATTAAATACTTATGAGGGTCATTAAGTGATCATTTGTGTAAACTTATTCTTTAGAATTTAGAATTATATCTGTCATGCTCTGGCGAATTAGTGCGGTGTTGCCAAGTGACGAACTAAAATCAACAAAAAAAAAAATATTAAAAAATACCTTATTTTTGCCATAACATTTTCATACTCTTTAAAAATCAGTTCTATTAATTTATTTCCGGTCACACCCGATGATTTATTTGTCTATTTTGATTGAATTGTTGTAATATATTATTTTTAAATAATAATATGTCATCTATAAAATTATAAACAATACTTTTCGAAAACTTTGAAACATAATTACTTTAAGGTATTTTTCGCGGCATAAACAACAGAACTGAAATTAGGAGAATGGATTTGACAGTTTACAAATACGTTCCTACAAGGGGAATAAAATTGAGGTTTTTGTTGAGTTTGCGCAGTAGGTGCCAAACAGAGTCATAATTTGAAAAAATATATACAATGTTTTCAGAAAGAAATTAAGGACGGGTTGTACAATACGCGGTTAATCGTTTTTAAATAAATAAAATTAACATTTATTTTCAAATCAATTTCGCTAATGACAATTGACATGCCTGGCAGACACTCACTGCGCAAACTCAAACCTCAATTTTGAATCTTCCTAACGGAGCATAAATTTTGAGCAAGAATTGACATCAAATCCATTCTCCTAATTTTAGTTCTGTGGCATAAACCAATATGAACGTTTATGACAGATTGTGTAATTTAGACCAATCGGACATGTCTGAAGAACATAATCTATAATAAACGTTCATGTTGGTTTATGGCGCGAAAAATACCTTTTTGTATTATCCAAAAGTTTTTAAAACTTTGGAAGCTAGTGAATTTATTTATTTATTAGTCGAAATTTATATACAGAGTGTACAAAAAGTAACTTAACATATTAATATTTAGATTCTTGATAGGTTTACAAAACAGGTTTAAATAAAATTTTATGAATTAAATTAAGTTAATAAGAAATATACTGGGTTTACCATTACTCCAAAATAATTTGATTTATTTGATAAATTTTTTAACCAAAACGCTTATTATAAATCTATCAGAATTCAAAACAATAAAAAGTTCCCTGACACACTTACACCATAAAAGCACGCTCGTCCTCCCACGTCCTAACTACCTTAGAAGCGAGCGCTTTTGGTTTGATGTTTCGAAATTCGCCTGTGCCCTTTTTACACTTACACCGTAAAAGCACGCTTCGCTCGTCCCACCCACCTGCTAACCGCTACAGATGCAAGCCAGCTTGCCTGACCGACGTTTTGAAATTTGCGCGAATTTCAAAACGTCGGCCGGGCTCGGTCCTGCGCACTTTTGTTACACCTACACCCTAATACCACTCAACGCTCGTTCCACCCACTTCTTAACCACGGCCCAAGCGAGCGAAGCGAGCGCGCCCGGCCGACGTTTGGAAATTCGCGCGAATTTCCAAACGTCGGCCGATCACGCTCTTTTTCCATTTACACCATAAGAGCACACTACGCTCGTCCCACTCACCTCCTAGCTACTACAGAAGACAAAGTGGTATTCTGGTAACCCATTCCATGCGCATGGACTCCAACGGCCTAGATATAGCTCAAATTGAAATAAAAAGTATCATATAACAAGCATATAACCCAATATATTCTCGTATTATATTATCTGCGCATGCGTAACCATGGAATATTTTAGATGTAAAAAGGGTGTGTTTGCTTCGCTTACTCTCTCCTGTACTTGTCGAAACGTTGACAGGGCGCACTTGCTTCGCTCGCTTTCTTCTGTAATAGTTGGAAAGTGAATAGGAAGAGCGTTCCGTGTTCTTATGATGTAGGAGTAAAAAGGCTGCTAGTGGTAACAGTTTAAATGAAAATCCTGTGGGCCTGTTGTTATTGACAGGGTCAGTGATACATATATGATTACTCAAAGCGTGTCATTTGCGAGCGGCCATATATTGCCTGGTAAGTGTCCATTAATTTGAATCGGTTTAATAAAAATATGCCTATGTTCATTTTGAAAAACATGGATGATCAATCTATATAACTGTTTAGAGCACTGACTTTATCAAATCACCAGGCCCACAGTGTTGCCATATTCTAACCTGTCAGTGACCTGTCATTTTAAACGGGCAACCATTTGGTTTGGAATGCCTAAGTAATAATAAATTTATGTTTAAAACTTTTCGAAAAGTACTTTATAGATGATCTAATATTAATATGTATTTATGTACTACAAGAATTCAATTAAAATGGTTAAATAAATCGTCAGGTGTGACTGGAAATAAAAGAAGTGCTTTTTAAAGTGTATAGAAATGTTATGTAAAAAAGGGTAATTTTTGACACTTGATACTTGAATTGACATAGCACGACAGATATAATTCTAAATTCTAATGAATAAGTTAACATAAATGATCACTTAATGATTCTCATAAGCCTTTAATATGTATTTTTTTTAAACGTTAATGTATGGGGTTTTCGTGGCATATTTGAAAAATACTTTCCTTCCTAAAGCTCAAAATGTAAGTTTTGTAAAAAAAATTGTCTTTTTAAGAAAAGGGCGTCTTCACAATAATTATCGATATTACTGTATGTGGCAAAGACCAAGCCGAACATGATGAAAATTTACACAAATTTTTAAGAGCTGTGAAAAAATATAAATTGACAGTAAACAAAAACAAAAGTAAATTTTCAAAGAAATACATAACTTAATAGAAAATGGAAATATCAGGGCCAGATCCATCAAGACTAGAATCATTAGTGAAATTACCAGTGCCTACGATAGCCAAGAGTTTTCAAAGAATAATTGGGATGTTTTCTTATTATTCAAAGTGGGTACCACGATTTTCCGAAAAAATATACAGTCTTGCAAATTCTGTCATTTCCACTTAAAAAAAATGCAACAAATGACTGAAAATATCAAGAAAGATATCTAATGCAGTTGTCACATCTATTGATAATGATGATATTTTCGTAGTAGAAACTGTTGCATCATCATGCAATAGCTGCTTGCTTAAGTCAATCTGGCAGGCCAGTAGCATTTTTCTCCAGAATGATATCTAAGAGTGAGTTAAGGTAGGCAGCGGTAGTAAAAGAAGCACAAGCCATGGTCAAGTCCATGTCAAGTCACTAAAGAAATGGAAGCATTTTTTGATTGAAAGATATTTCAAATTAATTACTGATGAAAAGTCAGTATCTTTTATGTTCGACACCAGACATACTAATAAAATTAAAAATGAAAAAATACTAAGATGGCGTCAAGAATTATCCTGCTACAGTTACGATATTATATACAGCCCAGGAGCTAAGAATACGGCCAGTGACACGTTCTCAAGAATATGTAACTCCATTAGCGGAAACGTTCTATTCGATCTGCATACATCGCTTTGCCATCCTGGAATTACTAGGATGTATCACGGGGTAAAATCATGAAATATGCCATATTCTCTTCAGGAAATTTGAACAATAATACGTTCTTGTCCAGTGTGTGCTGAAATAAAACTACAGATTATTAAAACCAGAATGAGTCATTTAGTAAAAACTACATCACCATTTCAGAGAATAAGTATAGACTGTACCATCCTCTACCCATAATAAGTACCTTCTAACAATAGTGGATGAGTTTTCTCGTTTTCCTTTTGCATTTCCATGTTCCAATATAACTTCTAATACTTTTATTAAATGTCTCGAATAACTGTTTACAACCTTTGGAATACCCTTGTATATATATTCTCACAGAGTCGGTTCTTTTATGTCTTCAGAAATAGAGGAATATGTACATGCCAGAGGTATAGCTACTAGTCGCACTACGTCATATAATCCAGCCGGAAACGGTCAATGTGAACGCTATAATTATATTATTTGGAAGACTATTTTGTTGGCTTTAAAATCTAAAGGAATGAATGTACAACAACTGTTCCAGTAAGATATTTAATAAAAAACATAAATTAAACAGTTTATTGCTCAAAGGGGTTTTGCCATATCTATATATTTTTTCTTACGATTTCTTCAAGTACCCTTCAAGTAATTTTATCTTATACCAATGAGACTCGAAACGGCCTCAAAACTGAACCTCAAAGCAGATTTCCCCTCACATCCATGAATAACACAAGAAATCTATAGTTCCATTGTCACAAAATAATTTGCAAAATAATTAACTCTAATCATAGAATGTTTCCTTTTTCAACTATACCTGTATAATTCCTGTCATAATTGTAGACTGTCCTTTGTTTCCTATCAGTTATTAGAACATGTTGCTCATATTTTATTTATGTCAATGGTCACATCTGTCTTGTCTCCTGTCAGTTATTTCATCTGTCGCACATATCAATTAGGCATTTCAAACCTCAGAGTAGTA